CCAGGTCAACACCAGGGTTGAGGGTTTAGGGTTTAGGGTCTTCAGACAGTTCAGGGTTTCGCGATCGGAGGATTGAGGGCTTTCTACTTGGAGGGTCGGGGGACTTAGTAAGTGGTTATTTTAGGGACTTATAAGTACCATAACCCCAATTAGGGTCCCTTTTAAGGTACTTATAAGTCTACTTACTACCTACATACTAATTCCCCCGACCCTCCAAGTAGATCTTGTAAGGCTTGGTAAACGGGTCATGAAAGGATGTATCTGAGGGGCTCCTCCAAGACCCCGGAGATCTGACTACTACGGTTGATGATATAAATCCTGCATTACCCATAATAAGGAATATATGGGAATTATGGTGAATTCCTTATTATGGGTCAGGCAGGATTTATATCATCAACAGTACTACTTGTGTGCCCTGTTGGGCAGGGTGTACCAGACGTCTACCATGGGAGCCCGAACCGTTCATCGCAGGGTTATAGTGTATGAGCCCTGTATGAGCAGAATGTAGATGAGAAGGGCATCCCACCACCGGTTCAATAGCAAGGGTTTAGAGCGGGGGTTCCGGGATTCCGCAGTGTGGAAAACTTCGGTTTGGTTCAGGGTCAGGGCGGTTGGGGTTCGACATGAGACACCTGCAACGTCGGATTTGCATCCATGTGGGCCCCTGCGTTGTTCTGGACCCTCGCAGCAAATAAACCCTGATCCGACGGTTTAGCTGTGATAGCCTCTAAGTACACACCGTCTGAATTTGTTGTCCGGCACCGCAACATGTACGAATTTCAAGGGGTGCTGCGCTTAAAGTGCGGTTAAACACCATTCATGTTGGCAAGTTGGCGCAATTCACTTCTGCACGACAGGCACGGAGTGCCAAGGAAAAAGTTCAACGAAGCAAGAGCCCAGCCAGGCGATAGCCACGAGTCTCCAAAGGTAGGAACATGTGTCGTCGTTCATGCGCTCTGAGGCATTCTGGAGGTTCTGCTCGTTGTTCAGTACCCATGGAGCATGCTTGCGTTCATCGCCGTGTTTTTGGCGGTGAAAATCGACTGCTCATTGGCCGTCTAGGTTCCCAGTTCCCAGATGTTGAGGCAATTGTGGTCCATCATAACTATCTGTCTAAGCCAGTAAGTTGTGCGGAAACGCCTTGGAGAAGTTAAGCTTGCAATTCTGCAGTGTAGCCCAGGGGATCATGGGCTTCTCGCGCCAGATGGCATGACATCTTTCGGCGCGCACTGCTCTTCCGAAAGACGAATTAAAATATCAAACCTGTTGCAACGATCCTTCCAAAAGCACCGTGTTGGCACGAGCAACACATTTGTTCAGTCAACACAGATGGCAGTGTTACATAACGTGAAAATATGTTACATCAACATGAAGTAGACTCTAGACCGTGTCAGTCCCAGGGTTTTACGTATTAAAAGGACGTAGCAGACGTTGGGTCAGTTTGTTTGATTATAACCTAGGTTTTCAACTCATTGTTGCCGTTCGTACAGATCGTAGGAAATTTTTGATGGGAATACCAAGTCTGGTTGGCCCGGAAATGTGCAGTCCTCACCCTTACCCTGTGGAAAATGCACTCGCAGCATCGTTCCCAAATATTATCTGGCCAAGGAGACCAGGGTGACTTACAGGCATGTAGAAGGGTGTTATGGAATGCAATAGTTTGTTTCGGACTGAACCAATGGGTTCACACGGCGTGAAAGGGTTTCAGCGTTAGTTTAGATGTTATGGCCGTTCTGTTTCTATAGATGTCTATAATCTATAATGTTGCATTTGGTGGCTATCCTCTGTGCAATAAAGGCAATCACAAGGATTCATAAAATCGAAAAATTTATAGACCAAGGAACCCTTAGTCGCGCATGCAGTAGATTGTCGAGTTGTCGGTTGTTCTGTCCTTGTATGGATTTTTGTTGAACCCTCTTACCGAAGACCAGCCCAGCATATCGAATAGTCATTGTTTGGAAACATACATCAGCAAACTTTCATACCATTGGGTGTTTTGCATTTGCACGGCTTCTGGCATTCACCCTGTTTCACTCCACGCTGGCCCTAGGGGACTTCCATGCTTCAACCCCTACACCATGTGCCCCGCGACCTCCTATATAAACCCTACGCCACCAACCCAAAAACATAAAACAAGGCTTTAAACATCTTTAAGTGTGAGCCCGAAAAGCCATGCGAGACAACCCGAAAAACGTTCACCGTCTGGCCAGATCTCCGAGTTTCTCTATGCTCTGGCAATGGTCAATGCCAGGCATCAGCTAGACCTCGCGTGGGGCAGCCCAGCTGTTTGTTCTTGTGCCCAAGTGTTTCGATGGGCTAGCAGCTTCGGGGTTTTGCAGTTTTCCCCAAGGCTAGATAATTAGATCATTCGGAAAGCTTGCGCACACTAACTAAACTTTGAAGCGTGAGCACCAACGCAACCATGTCTGGGAGTCCAGATGATTAAGGCTGAACCCAAACCCTTTACGCCCCAAAGGCTCAGACGCTGACGCTTGCCACTCAACACCCTGAGCCCACAACTTGCAAGTCCTGCAAAACCACCCTGAACCCGACACGCCTTACCCGTAAACCCCATATACTGCTACCTCCGATCCAGACCGCCCAGGCGTACCTTAGTCAAGCAGTATGCCGACAGCCCAGGCGGAGGCATGTGGAGTCTTCCGCGCATAGGTTTGGCATTTAGGTTCAAGGAATACTGTACCAACAACATGAAACCCTTATGGACCCACATAGTAATTAGGATCCTTGTTATGAAGATCCCGCCTCAATCTGGCACCACTAGGCTTCGGATGTGGGCTTCCGAACCCCTAAACCCCCCTAAACCCTACACCCCAAACGGCTACACCCCTAAGCCCTAAACCCTGAATCCTGCACCTTAAACCCTCACCTAACCCGAAAAACAGGGACCTCTGTAATTTCAGGGCATGATCTTGATCCCAGGTTCAGGACCGATGCATTTCATGAGAGCTTGCCTAACATGAGGGCGCTCCCATGTGTTCAGACTTGTGCAATATAAGGGCCGAAGTAAGTACCTCTACTACTTGTATGTTGGGTGTTCCTTATTCTAATTATAGTATAATGGGCCCCGAAACCCTATTCTGATCATTACGGCCCCCTGTAGCACCCACAAGAAGGGCTTAGACTCGTATGTAGCATACTTGGTGCGTGCATGGTATGTACTCCGAACTTGAGTGTGTGAGTGAGTGAGTGAGTGAGTGAGTGTGTGTGTGTGTGTGTGTGTGCGTGTGTACTATACACCATACATACGCGTATATATATATATATATATATCGATGTACATATATGGATATAGATACGTAAACAAAGCCGACATCGTGGTCCTCGAAACGGTTAGCCCCCTGCCCTATAATTACCCTACACCTAGGCACGATACCCTAAAGCCTATCCCCGTTATACTCCAAAGCTACAGCCTAAATTGACCTTATTATACCCCGGCTGCCCAAGTCCCCACACTTATCCTATCCCTTATAAACTTTAAACCCCAAACCATCCTGAACCTAAACCGTATGTATTCTGTATACCCCAGATACCCTACGCCCAGTAATCCCCCAAAAACCTATAATCCCTGAACACTAAACCTTACACCCTGAACCCTAAACCGCCTCAGTTCAGCCGATGAGCGGCGGCTCCCTGATCGACGTCGCTTGGGCACTGGTTGCCTTGGACCTGGTGCGAGCTCCCAGTTTAGGGTTCAGAAAATTCAGGGTTTCCCAGTCCAGGGTTCAGGGGGGGTTCAGGGTTTGCCGGTTAAGGGGTTAGGGTTCAGGGTGTGGGGTTGCAGGGTTTAGGGTCTCGGGTCTAGGGCTCCCTGTGTGGCTTTGGGAGGGTTTAGGTTTCAATCAAAACTGAGCGGTCAATTTCCATTTTGTCATTCTTTAGACTTCGTCCCATTTTTGTTACAACTATTCTTACTTTAAGGGGTATCATGCTTATCTTTTTCTTATAGATATCCCAAATCCCCATGGACCACCGGGCGGTACTATTGCGCATCATTCCGACTGTAGTATACAGGGACTGGTGGGTTTAACACTGGAAAACCGAAGCCTCCACCCGGAACTCGCAACCGCAGGGTTGAGGATTTAGGACGTTCTTCAGCCATTCGGTCTGTGTTCTTTGCCGGTGTACCGAAGCCGCACACGTTTGCAGAGCAGCATAGCGTTGGTTGTGCCTACAGGGCCTAAACACTAAGCCCCTATACACCCTAAACCCTCAAGCCCTCAACCCTTGCTGGAAACCCTTGCGACTCAAGGCAAGAGAGTTCGATGCCGAGCTCAAGGCTGGTCCTGGCGGTAAGGTGCAGGATTGCGTTTGAATTTAAGCACCAGGGTACATAGCTTAGTGCATGGTTGGGGGCCTGGTCCAAGGGATTGAAGGTTCTCAATGTTCAGGCGCTGAGGGCTTGGAGGGAGGCGCACTGGACGGAGATGACAGGGAGTGTGCTCTTGAGGTGTGTGGTATTGTCGACCATCGCCTTTTACAAGTGTTGCTTCCGCTCTACTAGCCGCTACCCGCTATGACGAGGACTACTACGACTACTGCGAAACCAACAACAACACCAACTACTACTACTACTACTACTACTACTACTACTACTACTACTACTACTACTACTACTACTACTACTACTGCTACTGCTACCACCACGACGACAACTACTACTATAGCTACTACTACTACTACTGCTACTACTACTACTACTACGACGACAACGACTACTCGGCTACACGACGACCACTTACTGCCAGCGTCACCACTACCAATTTCACTTTCAGATTCAAGCTCTGATGTCGTTGTTGAAGATTACGAAGATAGTATTGCTAATCGCTGTTGAGGACGAGGATGAAGAGGGTCATGATGATGTGGCGTTTGATGATGTTGGCGACGATTGGGGTGTTGGCTGCATGCTGGTACTCGTTCGTTTGTGTTCCGTGTCCGACTGACTACGAGTATTGAAAGAGTTGGTTGGGCATGGACTTATCTCGTTTGCTGTGTACGTAGATGTGTCTTATAGGAAGGCAGCTGGCGCAACAGAGATTTCCTGGGCAAAGTATAGAAGTAGTTGTGCGCCAGGCGGTCCTGGAAGAGACATTCTCCAGAAATCCACCGCAGAACAGGGTGCCCCTCACGAAGGCACCAAACTTCGATCACATTGAGTTCTGTGCTTGAGGATTTGGGCTGAGGCCTTGGCGCCAATTGCATTTTTATAGGGTCTACGTAGGTTCTAGGACTGTGTGATGCTTGGGTTAAGGGCAATAGGCATACAGGCTTGTGGACTGTATTTGTGGATTGAGCGGGGGCTCTTCTTCTGGGGAGAAGGCAGAAAGTGTAAGGGTTTCCACTACGACTACGACTCTTACTATAGGGCCCGGGTGTTGGATTTGGTCCACATCGTGAAGTCCTTTCTTCGGGCCGTGGACTCGCAGCCGCAGGCCGTGAACCCTGGTACTGTAGGAACCTGATCAAGAAACCCTATAACCCCAAAATAGTAGGATTCATATACGGAACCCTCATAAAGGCCCAAGGTTTCTTAATCAGGTTCCGACATTAACCTACCCCGGCTCTGGTGATTGGTTTCAGCCCCGCGACATGGAGTGCAGGGCTTTTCGATTTAAGGGCTGCCTGCCCTACACCCTAAACCCTAAACTCCTCCCTAAACCCCTGGAGGACGGCATGTGCAGAATTTCAGGGTTCGAGGTTTCGGTCTTTAGGGTGTCCTCTCTATTTTTCAGGGCTTTGTCGGGCACACGCGACTCTGCGGCAGCGTCCGGAATTCCGCAAGTGCTAAGTCAACCATCTTTACTTACGGAAGCCTTTGTGCTTCCCTTTAAGGCCTTCCAAGGCTACACTGACTGCCCCAAGCAACCAGAACCTCAAGATTTTGCAAGCCGGGATCCGATCTGCATCCAACTCCGACAATCCCTTCAAAGCGCCTCCTAACAACAGTGAACCCCCAAAGCCTTGATCTTAAGATCCAACACTCAAAACCCCCAGCGCAAAATACGAAGCCCTTTTGGGTATAGTAGCCTGATGGCAACCCTGATGGTGAGGGTTCAGAGGGCTCTGTTGAAGGATCCCGTAGAAGGAGCCATTGTAGTACCAAAGCCATTGGACAGCTCTTCGACGTGATTTGTGCTCTGGAGTTGGAGTACAAGGACCGAGACCTTGATTTCCAAGTGTTCTTTGGTCTGCGCTGATTAACTTTTATCGTAATCGAAGCTCTGTGGCTCTAGGGGATTATACAGGATTTTTTCAGACGTTTTGTTGTGGTTCTAAGGGCGCTTATAACCCTAAACCCTAAACCCCTAAACCCTAAACCCCTAAACCCTAAACCCTAAACCCCTAAACCCTAAACCCTAAACCCTAAACCCTACTGGACCTTTGAAACCTATGTAGACAACGCCTTCCCTGGGAGCCTGAGTCGCTGTTTTTAAGTCATGGAGAGATGGTAGGTTGATGGTTTTATGCTTAGCATCCTAGAACAAGCCCTAAGGGTCCAGGTACCCTTACCGAAATAGTATATACTTTGGGCCCAATGTACCTATATATCGGGAGTAGTTCAAGGCCAAAGTGTCAACTATTTGGGTAAAGGGACCCTTAGGGAAGAGAATGAGGACCCCAAAATAGACCATACAACCGAAGTCCGCAAGCCAAAGCCTTAAACCGGATCTCCCAAGTCTGCATACCTGGTATAGTATAGTTTTGGTGCCTGCATCAAGCAGAGTTTCAACAGGTTCTGGGTGGGCTCCATAAATGCCTATGCGTATAATGTGAATACATATACAAATATACATTTATGTATTTATAGATAGATAGATTTAGATATAGATATATTTATGTGCGCGTGTATGGACGGACTATTACCGGCTGTTCAGGCCGCTTTTGTATTTTTCACAACGAGAAGAGGACCTGGGCATCACCGTGCCGAACACCTGGAAAGCCGCCTGCGCCGATGCAGACCGCTTCGAGATGGAGAGGCCTCCCAAAAGGATTGTTTTGGGGGGGGCTACGGCTACTACGAGTGCTGCTGAAGGGTTACACTATACTGGGGCTTACAGCAAGTGCTAGTGTATGGGCTATTATTGTTGTTTTTTTTACTGGTTACTGTTGTCCCGTGGGATCTTTCAGGGCTGTAGGGTTTGGGACTGTTGAATTCTAGGCATTACTCGTGGATGTAATGTAAAGGATGCATAGCTTTCTTGAAGTTACCGCTGCGTCTTTGTGTTCCAACTGCCAAGGCCGCTGTCTTTGGCCCCAATCCAAAGCAAATGCTTGCTCTTACCTGAGCTGTAAACCCTAGAAAATTCAGAGGGTCCCAAACGCAGCTTCAAACCTTGAAAGCCCGAAGTTCCAGCTAAGCCTCACACTCATCACTTCAAGCTGTTTCGCGCTGAAGAGGTTAGAGTCGGCTCGGCTCCACAACGAGGTGGTCATGCGGGCTCGCACCCTAGAGCTTCCAATTTTGGGATTAGGTTTTCGGGCGGGTTTATTGAGGTTTCGGAGCTTAGGGCCTTCCAAGGTGTTTAGCCTAAAGGCTCCATGTGCCCATATAGTAGGTACTTAGGCCTTCAAGTGCCTATATAGAGACCTGAGGCCTAAGTACCTACTATATGGGCACGTGGAGCCTTAGGGTAGGGTGAGGGTTGGAGCTTAGGGTGAAGATTTGTTGGTCTTGGGGCACATGTGGTTGCTGGGGACGCCAATGTTTTTCGGTCTGGCATGAACCACGGAGGATTGTCACCATCTTGACACAGTCAGCATTTTAACACAATTACCATCTATGCCAAGATCCGTCAGAGAGCACAGGTTGCTTTGAATAGGGTTGCGGGCTTCTAGGATTTCCGATGTCGGGTTTGCTAAATGCTGCAAGGTTTTGTAAAAACTCAGCTGAGTTCGAGACGCCCGACTTCCAAACCCCTAAACCCCCTCATCCCCTAAACCCCTAAGCCCTGAACAATCCGAAGCTGTCAGTTCGACCATCTTCGCGGAGCGACCAATGGCATGCGCTGGCAGCCCCCAGCTCAAACGAATGGAGTTTAGGGGTTTAGGATTTGAGGGTTTAGGGGAATAGGGCTTCGGGCTCCAGCTGCCGAAATTAGTAAGCCTGCAATAGTGTACCCCAATAACCCACTATGCAGGTAATTGGAACCTCAGCGAAAAGCATGTAAACGGTTTTAGGGGTTTCTGGTCTAGGGCTTATAGGGTTCAAGGTTGATTGGGTGTTGGGTGCATAGGGTGTTGGGTTTAGGATGATTTCGGGTTGATAGGGTTGTTGGGTTCAGGGCGGCTAAGCCGCCTGAGGGTGCATGTACTTGAACCTTAGGCCCGAAGCTTATAACCCCAAAGTAGCGAGACATAGTATATCAAAGGGGAAAAAACAGGCTTACACGGCCTGTGTGCTTCCTTTCTCCTTCAGGACCCGACAAGTTGGTGAGCTTGTTCAAGCTGAACTTGCCGGTGACGGTTGGCAGTTCTTCCTTCGTAAGCTGTTGGGAGCTCGGGTCCTGTCCTTCCAGCTTGAGCAGCTCTTTAGCTGGCTGCGCACCAACCTTGTTGCTGAAAGCGAGAGAGCACACAATGCTTTGAAGACTCTCTGTCACAGCGTCACAGGACGCATCCTACACTCCGCGGCTATTGTTGCCTCCGAGCTTATCACTGGAAGCAACCTTCAAGATGGCATTCCTCTTTCAGATCCCAGCGCCTACGCCTGCAGGTTGATCCCCAGGAGATCACGAAGCTTGATGGCAAGCCTGAGGGTGCGTCAGTCCGGGTTCTTCTTGACGTCCTTGGGGCCAGGAAATGTGAGCTCTTTTCCCGGATCGACTTCCCGGGATAGCTATAGTAAGGGTATATACCTAGGGGTCCTTATTAAGGGTCCTTCCTTTTTCCCTTGGAGTATAGATTTGGGCCTCCAGGGGCTCCTAGGCAAAGTATATGACCCTAATAGTGTGTTGTCAAGAAGATGGGCGTTCGAAATCTAGGGGTGCCTGTTTCGGTGTCTTTTGTAGAGGATCCGTGTATTGCAGATCTTCTTTTGGCTCCCGGACCATCCCGTAGGTTTTTCGAAGCATATACAGGGTTTAGGGCTTCGGGCTGAGATAGAGAACTCCAACAGGGGAGTTTGCCGACAAGTTGGAGCCGAAATCTAGGTCTTGATGATGACAGCATCCCTTTATGACGTCCCTTAAGCAGGGAGGCCTCATCTTGAGAATTCCCCACCGTGTTGTACAGGAGACCCTTCGACTCAGCAAGTTTTACGAAAGCGTAGTCAGAAAATGTTGAAACTGACCCCAACGACCTAATAATTACTGGGTACTTGGGTTCAGGATAGTAGGTTTGTAAGTCAATATTTGGGAGAGTATCTGATTACAAGGTACCGGGACCCTAGGGGTAAGGGTTCCTGGATTCAGGGATGTTGGAAGCTCAGTCTATGGCCCAGGGCTGAAGGTGTCGGCCGTGGTCTTTGTATACTAGCTACAGTCTCCAGTGTAGTTCCTTTTTGGGATTACCCAGTAGGATCCTAATTTATGTATTTGGTTAAACCCCAAAACAGGAACTGCAATGGAAACTAGAGGTACCATTTTGGGTCTCCTGTTTTCTGACACTCTTGCATAGTTGAAAGGAGCCTAAGGGGTTGCCACTGCCAGGCTGCAGCTGTGCGCTTTTGCATATGGGTACTTGTCAAAATCAGGGTCCCCCTAAATGTTAGGTGCCGTGTTATAATAGGGAACCAAAAAGGGGACCATAATTTTGACAACCACCCATACTAACAAAAATCGCAATTAACAACAATTCTAGTAGTTATGACGCTACTAACAAGGAAGAGGGTAATATACTCCCGTGCTGCCCATCCATTGCGATTGAATCCATGCAGGTCTTGAGACCGCACAGAACATCGGAGCCCCATGCCTTGTCATAACTTGAAGTAGCTATATCAGCATGACTTACCCTCCTTGCGGTGGCTGATCTTGTAACTGGTAGGCCAAACATTACGGTGTGCAATTTTAGTAAAAGCATTGGGTTTATGGCAAAGGACTTTGTATGTACATTGAAGATAGACCTCCTTCTAGAACCCCAAGCCGTGAACACTCAGCCCCAACCACATAACCCCACCGTTTAGCATTGCCAGTCGAAATCTTATGGCTAGTTGTACAGGTCTTGTGATTAGTATCTTGCGTGCTCGTCTTAGGTGCATCGGGCCAGGAACTTTGCACTTGCCCCTGAACCAAAAAATCCTTAAACCCTGAACCCCGAAAGCCCTAAACCCTCAACCCCAAAACCCCAAAAGCCCTAAACCCGATAAACGTTCAACCACTGAACCCATGAACCCCACAAGCCCTAAGCCCCAAACTGAACCCAAAAGCCTCAAAACCCCTATCCCCTGAACCCTAAACTCCCCAAAACCCTATAAACCCTCAGCCCCTGCCCTTGAACCCCAAACTCCCTAAACCCTGAACCCCTGAACCCCAAAAGCCCTTCATCCCAGACACTCCAATATCCCTTAATTAGGGAATAGCCCTTAAATCATATTAGGGATCCTACTATAATTTAAGGTATATTCCTTAATTAAGGGATATTGGAGTCTCTGGGATGGCAGCAACCGGCCCAAGGCTAAGGATGCAGCGGAATCAAGCCTGCGGCCCCTACCGAGTAGATCTCTTCGATGAGGCCGGTTGAGGGTGTAGGTTTAGGAGGTTTAGGGTTTAGGGTTTAATGAAAGGTTCAGGGTTGAGGGTTTAATGAAAGGTTTAGGGTTTAAGGTTTATTTATAATTTAGGGTCTAGGGTTGTAGATTTTGGCGGCTGTGGCTTTGATTCAGGGGTCGATTCGGGCGTTTTAGATGTGGGCGTTCGGCAGACAGACGCAAGATCGGTGACTGCCCTGTATCAACAGCTAGCCAGCCCTACCGCTTCAAAAGACACTTCAACTGATCCCCAAACCCTATAAATCCTTGAAGCCTAAACCTCCAAATGCCCTAAACCCGTATAGAACCCGGATAGAACCTTCAAAGTAGGCCTTTTATAAACCCCTATATGGCCCATGCGGTGTTCAGCATGCAAGTGCATCAGTGCAGGACACAAAGACTGCCCTGGATCTGGAAATTATCAGGCCAGTTGCCGAAGGTTCTGGGTTTACCTAGACCCCCCAACTACCCTCTGATATACCCCCAAAAACCCACTATTAAGGACCAGAAGGGCTCTATTAAAGGGCCTCTGGGGGGTCCTGGTAGGGTTTACAGTTTCGGGCTTAGGTTTATTTAGGGTTCGGAGACCCCAGTTCCTTATTTGGGCCTTTAGCCTTTAGGGAGTTTTTCAGGGCGGCGGGCGCAACATCGGGGCTTGAATCAGTCGAGATGGTCTTGCGTCGGGACCCTCCTACATCGGCCTAGGTCCTGATGTGTCTTGTTCTGCCTATAGTAGTTCCTTTCTGATTTTTTGTTTAACTAGTTTTATAGTTAGAAACCCTAAACCCTAAGCTGTAGCCTTCCGGTCGGGATATGAGCGGGCAGAAAAAGGAGTTCAAACAAAGAAAAAAGCCTAAACCCTAGGATCCTATACAGTAGAAGCCAGAAAGTTGGAATATCATTATCGTAACCCCTTTAAGGTAAATTATAGGGGATCCTACCATTCATCCATAATGCCAACTTTCTGGAGTTCCCTTTACGGCAACCGAACAAGAACCATGGCCTCCAGGCTCAGCGCCCAGACGCGCCGGAGACCCCAAAGCAAGCCCGGGCAAAATTCCTCAAATTACTTTTTGTGTGCCGGACCCCCTCCACTCCAAAACCAAAAAGCACAACAGAATCCGGTCTCCTAGCCGGAAAGGGCAAAAGTTTCTCAAACCTAGCGAAACCTGAGGCAGTTGCGCCAAACACTTCAGAGGTACCCCATACAACGTTTATACACACTGAACCCCCTAACCCTGGAATCTCTTTAAATAACGACACGTCAGACAGCAGCAGCACGGAAGCTGCACACCAGGAAACCCTAATTATTCCATACACGCCTAAACCCAAAACCTCTCAAGACCTAGACCATACTTGGAGGTTCATGGGTAGTTATAAGTCGGTTCATAAGTCCCCTAATGTGATTATAAGTACATAGTTACCCTACTTATAGCCCTACTTATAACTACCCATGAACCTCCAAGTAAGCCCCTACTGTAAACTTCCTGAACCCCGACTCCGCAAACCATAAACCGAAGCCTATACTTTAAACTAGAATAAAGAGCCCCCACAACCCTATTCTAATCATCCCAGAGACTCCAATATCCCGTAATTCAGGAATATACTATATAGTAGGATCCCTAATATGATTCAAGGTATATTCCTGAATTAAGGGATATTGGAGTTTCTGGGATTAACATCCAAATGGTCCTATGTCCTGTTATGGGGAATACTTCCCAAAATCATAATAGTAATTCCTAATATAGAAACCCTACATTCTACTATATCGGTACTTCGGACCCTTTGGGACATCAATCTCGCCAGTTGGCCCACGGCCCGGCATTTGAAGCACCGGCTTCTCGAGGGGCTTGGTTTCCGCGTGCTGGCCCTCCAGCGCCCTGAAAGGGAGTTTAGGAGGGCTTCCCTAAGGCTCCATGTGCCCATATAGTAGGTACTTACTGTAGGCCTTGAAGAGGTCCCTATATAGGCACTTTAAGGCCTAAGTACCTAGTATATAGGCACATGGAGCCTTTGGGCTTGTAGGAGGTTAGGGCTATACGGGTTACGCTGTAGGGGTTGAGGGTTTTGCAAGGGCATAGGTTTTTGTCACGGTTTTACGAAGGCTTTGTAAAGCTTCTACATGGGTTCTGTAAGGTTTCTAGACGGCTTCTACGAGCTGTAACTCTAACGGGTCTAGAGGGTTCAGAGTTTTGGGCTTAGGAACCAGAGGTTGATGGTTTTAGTGAATGGACGGTGCAGGTCAGAGGTTGAGGTGTTTAGGGAATGGACAGTGGGGATCGCGGAATTTAGGGTTCATGGTTTTGGATTCACAGGCTTGTGGCTTTCAGGATTGCAGGCCTTAAAGATTAGGTAGGGGTTTTGGTTTCCGGAGAGTTTACAACCTCCTCTGGAGTCTTTGATTGAAGTATACCTGAACCCCCACAAACTATCACTGTATGAAGGAACCCAATCAAAATGGCAGGCAGTAGGTCTAGGCCGCAACATAGAGGGAATAGAGGTTTCCATGCAAAATAGGTTTCCATGGTATACTATGTTGTATTGATACTGGGGACCGAAAGAGAATGGTATTTCTAGTTTTCCAGACCTCGATGTTGCCTAAGCTGTAAGCCCGAACGCCTGAGGATGAACACTGTGCTCCACGCCCCCATAACCCTAAGAGTCCATGTGCCGACATAAGATAATTGTTTGGCCCCAGAGTATCCATTTATCTATCTATCTATCTATCTATCTATATATATATATATATATATATATATATATTATATATATATATATATACACATACGTATATATATATAGAGAGAGAGAGAGAGAGAGAGAGAGAGAGAGAGAGAGAGAGACTACTCCAAGGCCAAAGTATGTGCTATTTGGTTACAGCGAGCCTTAGGGTAGGATGGTTTAGGGTCTCTCCGACTTGAGGCTTCTGGGGTTTTAGGATTTTAGGTCTTAGAGTGATTAGAATTCGGGGCTTCGTGTCATGTCGAGAATGGGGGTCGTATCGGGCTTTAGAGTTTTAGTGATTTTAGTGTGTTAGAAGTTGAGTGCTTATGTGTTTCAAACAGGAACTCAGAAACCGAAAAAGTTGAATCTTAGGAGCAAGTTTACAATCCCCAGCACCCGACCTGTAAACGTTGTGGGCTCTTACACTTGCGCATGACTCTGAGAACTTGGCTTGCAGCTTCCGTGGGCTCGTGGAGAAGTGAGAAATTCGTTTGATGACATACATCCGGCATTACCCCTAATAAGGAGTACACCATAATTCCCATAGTCCAGATGCAGGATTTATATCACCAACCGTGGTAATCTGACTTCTGGTTCCAGTTCACGATACGGCCGCGAACAGCAGGCCCTGAACAAACACAGCACCCGAACACAGTACCGTTAAATATGCATAACATAACCCTCAACGCTATACCATTACTTATGTTTTGCCCGGCTTGAAAATGGAAGGTACAGTTGAGGAGGGATCTTTGGAAACACGTAGGTTGTCGTGTCGTTAGCATACCTCCTCTGACTTGGCCTCGCACCTTATAAAAGGTTTAAGGGTCACAGTTTGTTTGAGTCTGCAAGACTTCAGGCCTTTGCACCGACACCTTCCTTGACGATCGTCATTTATACATAGCATGTTAGTAAGGCTTTGTTGTCAGGGTCTGGTGGTTGGGTGTAAGCACACCCAATTTCACCAAGCAAGAAAAGCCATCCCCATGTGTGGAGGCTTGATACAGTGCATAGATACATAGTGCTTGTCTGTTAAGCTTACTTGTTAATTAGAGTTGTAAGTAGTATAGTATATTGTAAGGCATTGTGAGGGCAATGTGCTCTTGTCAGCCTTTCATGCGCAACTACAGATGGAACCAAGCCGGGCAGTGCATGTGGAGCGAATTTAAGATGTGGGGTTTGGGATTTGCGGCGCAGGGTTTATGATGTAGGGTCCAGTTCTTCGATGTGAACAGGTCGTTTGTCCCTAATGGTTCTGCAACCAGTATTTCAGTAATCACAGTGCGAGTTGCACCTAGCCAGTGGGAATGTTCTATACGTTGGATTTCGATAGTTGCTCTAGGCTGAGACGGTTGACACCTGAAGAGCTGCCCTGCGGATCAAATGCAAAAACCCGTCGCAGTGCCTTCACAGATCATTCGGCAGCCTCAGCGTGTGACGTGGGTAATGAACTTAACTGACTCATCATGACACCGTGCCGCGGCAGGACTTACCGTGCAAAACTAACAGCCGCCAAGCAAATGGACGCGGAGTAGCTGTAGTCATCCTGGTGTCCTGGTGGCATTAGGACAGTAATTAGAGGATTGCCGGTGCTAAAATGCGACTTGCGGGTTTTGAGAGAGTACTCTTGTCTTTCTTCCATCCGGTTGCGTGCTGCTGCCATGCGACCTTCTAGCGACATAGCCCGATACCGGGTCCAGTAAGTCTTTTCCAGCCGAGTGTTTTGCTGACTGGCGCAGCGACATGTTCCCATGTACTACAGCCAGCTGCTTACTTCATTCTGGCCACGCATAAACCCTATTGTCGGACATACACAGACGAAAGTCCCGACAATCAATACATGGAGAACAACGAGCTTTCACCTATCATTTAGTCCGCCCGAAACACCTGTATAAATGCTTGACCTCCGCCACGATCGCCGTCACCCACAAAACCCTACAAACCCCATGAAACGGAATTCCACAAAGCTGATAATGGCCTGCACAAGCAGAGCAGGTACTGGGACTGGCGCCGGGCACGCACAGAAGAGGCCACCAACTCGAGCCTGTTTTTTTTGGGAGGGTGTCTGGTCGGGTTGGGGCTAGTTTTGGTCATTTTTGGGTTTGGGGTTTAAAGGTTAGGTTTTTTGGTCTTTGAAAGAGTATCAAGTAGGTCAATGGGACAATTGACGGCTTCCTTGCTGAGTTATGTACAGTAAGATCATACTTAGGGCTGTTTGGAACCGGTCTGTAAAGCCAGCCAGTGTGTTAGGCCTGACAGGCCGTTTAGATTTTGGGATTCTGGTTTCGGTTTTGGGGTTTCGTTGGGGCTCTAGGCCCTGAGCGACGGTTGTTGAGGCTTGAGAATTGTCGGCGTAGGCAAACCGACTTCCCGAAAGGCCCCAAAAAACAGCGGGATGTTCAGGATTTGAGGATGTAAGTGATTTAAGGTTTTGCAACGGCCCAATATGGAAGTATGGTGTTCCTGGTTATCCTCTTCTGTACCCCAGTCCACATTCGAAGCAGTAAGGGACCCTGTATCGGCTAGAACAGGATGGTGTTTGGCCGAGGGGTTCCGGATATAAGGCTGCAGCACCTGTTGGCTATTCGAGCTCCCTGAAACCCCACCCCTCCAACCCTGCTACCTAAACACCAACACTGTAAAGCCTTGAACTTAAACCCTGAACCCACCCAAACTCCGAACTTCGAAACTCGGAAATACATTCCCGAAGCCATAAATGTTCTTTGAAGCTCCATGCTTCACTGGCAGCTGGAGTTCTGGTGTGCTTGAAAACAGGATCAGAACCTCTTCCTCGAGAGGGAGGTGAACCGCGTGTGGCTGCCTTAGGACCTCAAGAGGTCACCTTCAAACGATTCCTGTCCCTAAGCCCTTGACCCTAGACCCAAAACGCTTTACAAAGCTGAAACCTATAAACCCTAAACCTTGAACCTTAAACATAAAGGACCTTAGCCTGAGTTTCGCAGGCCCACGCCTTTGAGCTCGGATTGAGATGTGCACGTAAATTTATGTAAATGCATGGGTTTTCATAGTTACCCAACAATATTCCTCAGGGCTCCTTATTATACTTATTATGGTGTATGCAATTAGAACCCCTACTCCAATCAGTAAGGCCTTTATACCAGGGGCCCGCAGGATGCATCCACTGACCAAGCAATGGTCTGAGTTGGTGTATTACAGTAGAAGCCAGAAAGTTGGAATATGATTATCCTAAACCCTTTATGGTAAATTACAAGGTATCCTACCCTGAAACCATATTCCAACTTTCTGGAGTTCCCTTTATTCTGTTGGTCCGACCAACAACGAAACATGCTGCCAAGAGCTTCATTTCTGTGCTGTCGGCGAACCCCGAACTCGTGTTGAGCACATCCCAGTAAGGCCTACGAAACAGTAGCCCTTTAGTTGCAGAGCAGGGCCGTAATGCCTAGAACTTGAGGTTTCAGGATTTGGGCTTTAGGACTGCAAAATTTGAGGTTCGGGCATCCACCCACCTCACGCTGAGGCCTTGAAACACTCGTCGTTATATGGGAGGCCTCTAAATAGCAAACTCGAATCCTGAGATCTTGATGAGCACATAAACACAAGCCATTGAGGCCAGCTGCCTTTGTAGGGATACTACTTCCAGGGGTAAAAGGTGGGACCCTTAATAAAGACCCCTAGGTATATACCCTTGATATGGCTATGTTATACCCATTATATAGCCCATTATAGGGTAGGGATCCCCATTAAGGGTCCCTCCTTTTCCCCTTTGACTACTACCTCCAAAAGTAGACGTCTAGTATAGGCGCCTTAATAAGTTTAATAGGGTTTTGGGGCCCATAATACTGTAACTATAATAAGGAACCCTAACAACAGTACGTATAGGTAATTATTTCCTGAAGGACCAAATGACCCTTAAAAGTAGGGGCCCTAAACAACCCATATACTATGAATCCCTATATGGATATGAACCTTAAACCCTTTTAGGGATCATTTCGTCCTTAAGGTTAGGCCCCTATATTGGTTGCTTCTCTGGCGCCGACTCCTCGTCTGAGCGTTCTAAGGCTGGAGAAGCACCCGCTGGCGGCCCTGGAGACGTGAGCGACCTCGAAAACTGTATAGGCCCATTATACTATACTTATCATAAGGAACTATGATAAGTATTGGCCCATCATTCTACTATCCATCTTGTTGAAATTGGGGTCTATAGGCTTTACATTGCTCCTGAATCAGGGAAAGAGAGCCGGTTGTAGGTATTCCGTTTGTCCCTAGCAGCTGAAGCCCCAGAATGAATACGGTATTATTGGGGCCTAGATAATTAGAACAGGGTTCCTATAAAGGGTTCCATTTTAAAGGGCTTTATGAGGATTACTGTAAGGGCTATTATGAGGACATATTATAGGGGCCTTAATAATTACCCACACTATTTTGGGGGTTCCTTTCTTATGGTTATAGCATAATGAGCCCCAAAACCCATCGGTTTATCATTAAGGCCCCTATGCAAGGTTATCCTGCCAATGTCCTCGGCTGCATCAGGAGTTTTATATTCAACCTTAAACCGTAAGGGCGCGCGCAAAACAAGCACATGCTGTTCGATTTTCTAGGTGCCCTAAGTCCTAAATCCTATAGATATAGGCCCGGGCTCACTGTTTGGATCCGTTCAGTGTTTCGAACTTCAGAGTTGGGGCAATCCAAGAATAATCATGCCATGAACAATCATAGTACCAACAGTTAGAACAATAGCAGTCGAAGTAACAACAATACCAATAATATCATGGTAAATATCTTACTTCACCTGATATTCGTATCCTCACTGTTAGTATCATCACTTGTTATTACTACTATTCTTGTTGTGATCATTTGAATAATTCCTATGGTTCTTTGTATCTTCATTATAGTTAAGTGCCTCCTCCCTAATACTACTACTACTACTACTACTACTACTACTACTACTACTACTACTACTACTACTACTACTACTACTACTACTACTACTACTACTACTACTACTACCTTGCTACTCCTGCTGCTACTACTGCCACTACTACTACGACGACGACTACGACGACTACGACTACTACGACTACTACGACTACTCCGACTACAACTTCGACTACGACTGCTACTGCTATTCCTGCTGCTACTGCTAGTGCTACTGCTACTACTACTGCTACTGCTGCCGCTACCGCTACCGCTACTGCTACTGCTACGGCTCCTGCTGCTGCTGCTACCGCCACTGCCACTGTGTCCGCCACTGCCACTGCCACTGCCACTGCTACTGCTGCTGCTACTGCTGCAGGTGCTGCTACTGCTAGGACTACTAGGATTAGTGATACTACTATCACTAGTATTGCTGTTCTTCTCTTTCTGTCATTGTGATATCATCGTGTATTGTCATTGTTGTTACTGTGACGAATACTGAATAGTATCAATCGCAGGAAGACTAGCACTAAAAGTCATAGGTGGCAACGGAGGTGGTTGAGCGATCGCACTGCTACCGAGTGCATGCCGTTGCTCTTTGCAGCTTGGTTCATCGATAAAAGGCATGCAAGGGATTTGCTTGATTTCGATTCCTTCCTTCAGAAAAGCACGTCATGTTTGGACTCTGGATGTTTTGAGTCTGGAGTTTAGGGTGGTGGAGGTGTTGGTTTTAGGGTTCAGGTTTGACCAAAGAACCCCAACACCTTCAAATGCCTGAAGTGCGACTGCAGTGGTTCAGCTGCAGTTAGGGCCAACAATTAAAGTCGACTTGGGTCGACCAAAACCGGCAGCATGCGGCTTCGGGATTTCTTGTCCGGGATTCAGAGACAGAGCTGCTGGATGAGGCCAAAGAAAATTAAGCTGCAGGTAAGTAGGGTCTAGGGACCTATGCTGTTGGGATTTGGGGTACGGTGTTTGCATGACTTGCCTTTCCAGGTCCTCCCCTCTACAAAACGCATTGACTGTCACCCCAAAGCCCGTTAAACCCTAAAGCCCCTCAATACTGAACCATGAAACCAGAAAGCCTAAGCCTCTAAACCCTATCATTTAGATTGTACGCCCCAAAGCATTAAACCGTCGTTGAAGCCATCAATCAGCCCCCTTAACTGCCAAAAACCCTAAGCCGTAAAGCCTTTGCAGGCAGAACACGGCGTCTAAGACCCCAGTGCATTCTCCCTAAGGCTCCATGTGCCCATATAGTAGGTACTTAGGCCGCGGGGGAGTAGTGTCAGGCCAAGGAATACTCTATATAGCTACATGAATCCTTGGGAACTCCGTTGGGTTTTGACGATGCTAAACTTCCAAGAAACCACTCGCTCAAGGCGGCTATAAGCCCCCTGCGTGCACAGCGGGTCGGATGATGGCTTCTTGTTCTGCGTAGCTGTTTTGCTTGCTGGTAGCGCATGCAAAAGTGGGCACGATCATTGCCAAGCTCAGGGTAGAGAGGCCTCTTAAAGGCTCAGAAATATTTAGCTTTTTTCCAACAACCATATATACATATGTATCTGTGTGTGAGTTATGTATATATATATATATGCATACAGTTTTTAACCTCTTGCTTAAGAGGCCCGAAGACCTGTTTAGTGCAAAAGTGCATGCTAGCTTCGGCAGCGTTATGACCAGAGCCCCACTGCAAGCAAAAGTTCGACCTTCAGCAGCTTCAAGCCAAGTCAGACGCGATATGCATTGGCACGAGACTACTATGCCGATGTAGTTGTTCCGGCTGCGGAATACTTGCCAATGTCGGCAGCGACGCGGCTGGCTGCGCTGCGTTCGTCTCAGAGTAGCTGAGGAGCTGGTATCATACTCACGAGCTATCCCCTCTTATTTCGCTTTATTGTGGACTCATAGAGATACCGACGATTTTCGGAGCGTGCTTCTTACGTTGAGCTCTGGATCGAGCCAAAAAGCAGGGTCAGGTACGCTTGGATAGAAACTCTGAAATTGACGTTACCTATAGTCTTCATTGTAGTTCCTTTTTTTGGTTAACCAAAAGCTCTTTTATAGGATCCTAAACATAAAACTGGCTAACCAAAAAAAGGAACTACAATGGAGACTATTGGTAAGGCCTGACTAGGCAAGGTTGACTGCACTACACGTTCACACACGACTTGCCACGATCGTCATTGCAACTCTTGGGAAATGTGTGATCCGGACGACCTGTGAAACTGGGTTCCGGATCATGACTTTCTACAATGCACACCCTAAACGTATTTCCCGCCTACTCAGGCCCCAATATGAAGTCCCTCCAGCCAGAAATTGGTGATGTCACTGGACACTGCGAGCATGCACCTGCTGCAGGGGCTGCCTCCGAACAGTCTTCCGACGAGTCTCTGACCAGCTCTCCACATACGGTTTAAACAAACATCACCATCCGATGATGAGGAGATGATCTTTGTGAACGGGCTTTGGTGCTTGCTTGATTTTCGTGGTCTTTTAAGCCTGCGGTAGGTGGGTCGCAGTGATCAGTAGTGATCAATTAGGAGCTATATGCTACAAGGACCCCCAAAGCCGTACAAGACACTCAGTTTAATCCCGTTTGAAGCAGTAAGGCCTGAAGGGGCTTTTTGAAGCCCCTGGCTTCCGTCAGGACCTCTTGCAAAGTAGTGCGCGACTGGTGTTTGGTTTCCCCTACCTGATACCAGTCTTCCATTCCCTACTAACCAAACGTAAGTATAGTTGGTGTACTTCATACTCCGAGATCTGGAAAATAATGCTTTTCAGTGCTCAGGCTTCTATATGACCCTAAACCGGCCTTCAACTCTAAACCAAAAAACCCAAGCCTTAAACCCTATGGGAGTTTCCGACAAAAAAGGGACCCTTCTATAGTAGTATCCCAAATAGTAGGATCCCTATTAGAAGGACCCCCATAAAGGTAACCCTAATTTTCGGAACCCCCCGCATATGAACCCCAAGCCCTAAACCCTTGTGACGCCCTCGGCTCTGCCTCCGATAGTGGCCTTAATAATTAGAGTCGGGTTCCTTTAAAGGGTTCCTATAAGGGGTGCTATATAAGGGATCTATAGTATAATAATTGGAATAAAGGTTGGGTAAATTGCAGATTCTAAAACTATAACAAGGGACCCAATACTACTTTGGGGTCTAAGGAGGGCTGCAAGATCCACCGCCAGAGCATGAGAACCGGAAGATCTCCGAAGAAGTTCTGCTGACTAAGGCTGGCGCTTACGGCCTCCCTGGCGCGGATAGAGGCCTGTCAGCTAGGGCTTAGGGCTTAGGGTTCGGGGGTTAAGGGTTTGCGGTTTACGGAGATTAATCATCGAGTCGTTTGTAGAATTAGTGCGGAGACGGCTGGTGGAGGTGTTTGATTGACTGCCTGCGAAGTGAAGACGGAAAGTGCACTGGCGCATGTGATAGGGGGGAACAAACTGTGGGCAGGTGGCTGCGCTGGATCCCTCCAAGGCTCTGTTATGGGCTTTGTTGGGAAGCTTTAGACGAGTTCAGGGGCTTTTGGGTGAAGGATACAGGATTCAGGGTTCGGGGCTCTTTTGGCACGGCTGCTGGAAGCGCTGTAAACTACAAGATTTGTGATGCACTTGGAGAAGTAGTTCTTTGTTGTCCTTCAGATACGGCTAGAATAGTGGTGCATTAGCGTGGTCGCAGATTCAGGACTGAGCAAGCTCTAGATTTCGGTTTTAGGCTTTTCAGGCTGTTTGTCTAGATCCTTGCACGTATCCTCCGCAATAGCTGAATGCAGCAGCAGTAGTAAGATGTAGCAGGTAAGCCAAGAGACTCCCAGCACCCTCTCATACAGGTGTCCTTTCCAACCGAAGCTTATATAATGTATACTGTAGAATGATACACTCTGCATCAGTATGTACGGTCAGACTACAGTATGCGATACTATATACTATCAGTGCAGCAGAAACAGAAACAGCGACAGCAACGCCGGCAACAACAACGATGTAGTCCGTGCCTCGTGGTTGAAACAACACGACAAGTTTCTCCTAAACCTTAAACTAAACCCTATAAACCCTAAACCGTTTTGATATTTCTCGGCGGCGGAGATGCTCCGGGCTTAAGGATATTGGTGGGTTCAGCAAGTGCGCCGCGTCACAGAATCCAAACGGGGAGGGTTACGGTCAAGGGCTCCAAGGGTGGCA